CTGCTGGTTCTTAAAAGTGCTCTCAGTGGTTCCCAGGTGGGTTGAAAGAGTTTTTTAAATCGTTCCTACATGGTTTTAAAGGGTTTGAAAACGGTTTTAATGGGTTTGGTTGCTTGCCCTCCACCCTTTGGGGGAGAGCAGGAGGCGACTCTTGTCCCCTGCGAGGGAGGAACCGTTCCCGCCCTGGGGGTGCCTACGCTCGGAGTCTTCGCTCTTGAAGTATCCGATGACTTTTGGCTCGTCCTCATTGTTCTCGAAGGCCTGCAGTTCGTGGTCTCCCTCGATGAATTCCACTGGATCCTCCATCACCTGCAGGGAAACACGAAGGGCGTGGAGGCGGTCGTGACCCCCACCCCACACCGATGGCTGCCCCAATGGCTCTCCTCCCTTTCCCTACCCCAAAGGGCCATGGAAGGGGGGGCTTGGCCTCCTTTTCAAAGGAACAGGAGCTCCTGGCATGGACCATTCAAAGACAAGGGTCTGGATTGGGCCCAGAAACCGACCGGCCGACCAGCAAGGGTAAAACAAGAGGAGGAAGTGAATCCCCAGATGCCAAGGGCCGGTTTGGGTGGGCCGTCCAGGGAGCTGCTTTTTGAACCAAAGGTGGTTTCTGAGCCATCGTCCAAGGTCAGCCCCTTATACCGTCCAATGCAGTAGTCTAGCTGCACGTGACATGGGCCGTGAAGACTGTCAGCGGCCGGGTCTTAGTTCCCACAGTAGGGCAAAAGGAACCAGTCCTTGGCAACAATGAATTAGAATTCATTCAAAACTTGGTTCAATTTATTTCAAAATTTTAAAATTGGTTGTTTTGCATGGTAAAACGGCAACGGTCTTTATTTTCACCGTTTCCTCGCCGTCGACCTTCCGGCACTTCTAGTTGCTGTTTTCATGAATTAACAAACACCTCAACCAAAGAATCAAATTCCTCTACGGATCAAGAATTGGATTACCTTCAAACAATCTAAGGTTAAGGATGACTTTCCACCTTGGCAAAGCCCCCCCACCACCAAAGAGGCCTCGAGGAAATTTGCGGCGGGGGGGGAGGGTTGTCCCCAGAGGAGGCAGAGATGCCTGGGGCGACCGGGGAGGGAAGGGGCGGGTCTGGGGTCCCCCCCCCACGGGGGACTTACGTCCAGAAGAAACTCCACCAGGGTGTCGGCTGAAAACTCCCCGTCGTACTCAATGATTTCGTCACCCTTGAAGACGTAAACGCTGTCCTCCTCAGTCAGACCTGCCGGAGGAGGTTGTCAGGGTAGGTGGGGGAGAAAACACGGGCAGGTGGACGGACGGACAGACAGACGGCAGGGCAGAGCTCCGGAGGATGCTGGTCCAGGCCTCCCAGAAAAGAGGCCGAGGGCGAAGCTGGCTTAGGGGGCTGGGCCCTCTGGGGGGGGGGATCTGTCTCTCCTCAGGCCCTCCTCTCTGGGGCAGGCAGGATCACAGAGAGGAGAAGGGTGGGGCTGGGCAGGAGGGATAGGCCATCCTGGTGCAGGATCCGGCCAACGCAAGGGCTTTGTTAGAGGGCATACGGTCTCCAAGGCTTTTGTGCCTTTTGGGAACCGGCTGGAGCTTAGAGGAGTCCCTTTTTCGTGCAGCGCAATTGCCCGGGAGCTGAAAGCCCAGAGAGAAGAGACTTCTCCACTTGCAAAAGTGCCCAGAGCCAAGCCAGGATGGAGCCAGATGGAGTCTCCCTCTGCCCGGCCTTGCTTGCCCGCCTCCTGCCGCCCCGTCTCTGGGCATCCACTGCCCTCTGCTGGTTGTGGAAGCTCAGGCCCACCTCGGCCTCTCTCCTCTTGGGGCCCAGCTCCGTCTCTGCCTGGCAGCGGCTCTGGAGGTGGCCGGCGGACCTGCTGGCCTTTGCAAGCCCTGGGCCACCCGGCCGGCGCCTGCCCTCAACCCTTGGGGCTCTGGGCACCACCAACGCCGCCCCCACCCATGGAGGACTCCCCACATTACCTAATTTTTTGGCCACAGCCGCGTCCTTCTCGGCATCCACTAGCCCAAAGCCGACTCCTTTATCCTCCAGGACTTGGGCTGCTAACTAGGAGAAAGAGGCCACACGAGGGCAGACGGAGACGGAGGGAGCAAAAGACACGGCAAGGAAAGAGGGAACAAACAAGTTTCAGAGAGATTCGCGCCCGGAGAAGAGACGAGCAGGACCAGTTCTGGACTGATGCACAAGCAAAGGGCACGGAGTGGGGTTGGGGTGTGTGTGTGTGAGGCCCTCCCAGTAGGAGGGAGGCTAAATGCAAGTCTCCCCACAACCCGGTTAAAATAATGCATGTTTTGGGCCTGACATCGTTTAGGGCTTTGGACCCCTTTCCTGGCTCTGCAAACGGACACTCGAACCTGCCGGGGGGAGGGCATCGGGCGAAGGCTGCCACCTTCTGAACCGCCCCCCTGTCACTGTGCGTTGACCGGCCAGTGGCCGCCAGTGGAGAGAAGAGGGGCGCCTGTCTTACTCTAATTGTGGGAAGAAGGAAAAGAGCAGCCACCCAGGAAGGAAACAAAGAGCAGGCCAGCAGGAGCGCCCTCGGCTTGTGGCAGCTGAAAGGCCGGGTCTGCCAACCGGTTAAGATTCCTTCTTTTGAAACTCCTGCGAATGCCTCTCGACGGGACGTCTGTGCCAGGCAAGTTCGGGGCTTTTTATGTCATCTCTTAAATTCCCAGGCCATGGGACGCTTTTTCTGAAGGGCAACCCCTTTCCAGATATTTTCAAAGCTCAGGGAGCGGTTTTCTAAGATTCCTCATAGCGCCCCCCCCCGGTGCCTTTTTCACGAGCCTTAGGAAGCTGTCCTAAGGCCAGGGGTGTGTGTGTGTGTCTAGGGGGGGGCGGGAGGGGGCGGGAAAGAAGACCTGGCTGCCCCCTCTGCCTAGCAGGGAGGAGGAGATGGTAAGGCTCTCAATCTCTCTCAACCCTGCCAAAGGCATCAAGGCGGCCAGGTATGGGATGGCCCTTTTTTGGCACCTTGCAAGATGGGTGCCCAGCCCGTAGGAAGGGCGAGGGGCCTCTGAGCCATGGGTGGGTGGGAGCTGATGCTGCTCCAAAGCCACCCTGGGACTGCTGCCTCCAAGGCGCCGAGTGGAGGGAGGAGAGCCCTTTCGCGCCCGCCGTTGCCGAAATACTCCGGAGGGGAGCCGAGGGCAGCCTTTCCTCTCGTGACCCTGTGCCTGCAGGAAGAGCCCCTTGCTGATGGCCCTTCCGCTCGCTTCTGCCCCAGAGCAGTCCCTCTCCATGCCCCCCCCTCTGCCCAGCTGGGGGTCCCTGGGCTGCTCTCCCCCCCCCCCCCGGGCATCGGCCAGGACTCCTTTCTTGCTCCCTGCCTTTCGCCCTCCGGGGAGGGCTGCCCGGGATACGATTTCACAGGGAAAGTGGGCGTTCTCATTTCAGAGGTCTGCCCTGGGGCCACCGTGAGATGGACACTCAGGTTGGCTCTCTGTGGGCCCCAGAAGGCCAGCCGGGTCAAAGCAGGGCGCCGGCAGCCCCAGGAATGAGGAGGGAAGAAGGCCCTGGAGGGGAGCTTCAGAGGCGGAAACCGGAGGTCTCTGTGGGCCTGGCTGGCCCCTGCCGGTTTCCTTCCTTCCTTCCTTCCATCCTAATGGTTGTATTTCAATTTTTCCCTTTCTACATGGAAATATTGCAGGTTTATGTACATATCTATATGTATATTTTCAATATGCATGCATTTAATACAATCTTGCAAATAAACACTTCCTTCCTTGGCGAGCCTTTCTCCTGCCCTCCTCCTCCTCCTCCTCCTCCTCCTCAGGCCACCTGATCCCCAGCCGAAGACCGAAGACGGGCAAAAATAGCCCAGCTTGCCTGGAGAGCATCTCTGATATGTGGCCAGCTCCCTCGGGTCAGTTTTTAGAACGTTCCACAGATCTGGGCCGCCCCACTTCGCTCGCAGAGGCGGCAGTGGTAGGGGGGTGGGGGGTGGGTAACGACAGCAGCCCCACATTCCTCCCCCCCAATGCTCCCCCTGCAAGGAAACTATTCCTGGCCTTCCAGGAGTGGCCGAAGGCACCCGAGCCCTCCTGGCACGTGCCCAAGGAAGGGCTCCGGCCGGCCGTGAGGAGGAGGAGGAGGAGAGAAGGACCGGAGCAGGGCTTTGGCTAATTGACTCCTCTTCTGGGGAGTGGGGTGTGCCCTTCCCTTCTAACCCAAGGAGGGGAGAGAGGCCAGCCTGGGGGCTCTGGCACTTTTGGGGGGGGCAGGAGCAGGGGTAGGGTGGCCAAGTGGGGGGGCAGCACCTGGTGGGGCCGCGGGGAGCCCTGTCCTCCTTGCCGAAGGGGCTGCGTCTTGGCCCCCTCCCTCAGGACCTCCTTCCCCCAAAGAGGACTCCTCCCCTGAGACGGATCCGTTGCAGCCTGAGGAGGAGGAGGAGGAGGAGGAGGAGGAGGGCTTCGCACGGTGTCCATACTTGGGAATCTGATCTGCAAGTGTGGGGTGGGGGGTGCAAGGAGCAGGAGCAGGAGGAGGAGGCTGGGCTGGACAGGGGCAGAATCTGGGGGGCAGGTGGGGGGAAAGCAGCTGCTGAAGTTTCCTGCTGAGAGATCCAGGCAGCCGCTCTGCCTTTCCCTTTGGACAAGGGTGTCCACCCCGGAGCAGAGGGCGCTTCTCCTCTCTCTCTGCCCCCCACCCCACCTCGGACCCTGCCTGTCCCTCCCTCCCCCTCCTTGGCCTCCTGGTCTTCACCTGGCCTCACCTCCCCCCTTGCCCGGCGCCGCCCCCCCCCCCGGAAAGGGCATGAAATCCCCCATCTCAGGGAGGCTCCAGCGCCCTCCCGGAGCCCCTGCCCCACACCTGCCCTCCGAGGCCAGACCCACGGCCCAGACCAGGGCATCATCCGCCTCCTGCCTCCAGGGTGCCTGTGCCAGGAACCCACCTCTGCCCCCTGAGTCGCTGGTCCCCCAACGAGACCCCCTTCCTAGCGACTGGACCCATCCACCGCTCCTCTTGACCCCAGCCATGCGGGTGTGCCAGCCGAGGACCAACCTCCCCCACCCCCAAAAAAGGGGGGTACCCTGCCGGTCATTACCTCCAGGATCAGCTCCTCCAGCTCAAACTGCTTCTGCGAAGCCTTGTCCTCGCCCACCGGCTCGTGGTAGAGCAGCGCCAGGATCTCAAACTTCTTCAGGACGGCCTTGTAGTTCTTGCTGTTGACGTCGATCACCCGGTCGATGCCATCGTACTCGGGGAAATCCAGCCCCTCCTCGCCTCGTGCCACGGGGCTGGCCACGGCCAGCAGGAAGGCGGCTAACCCGAAGGCGAGCCACTTCATCTTGAGCTGATGGGCTTCGCCCAGAATGGCCGGCCGGCGAGCGAGCGAGCGAGTGAGCGAGCAAGCGGGCGAGATGAAAAGGTCCCTGTCCTGGGTGACCTCTCGGAGAGACAGGCCGAGGGGAGCGCCGGCTGCCTTCTCCTCGCTCTTCCTTCCTTCCTTCCTTCCTCCCTCCCTCCGGGGGGCTTTGCTCCTCTCCTTCCCTCTCCTTCCCTCTCTCCGCCACTCCCCTCGCGAGGAGGGCAGGGAAAGGGGGTCTGGGGGGCTCCTGGCTGGCACAGGAAGAGGAGGGCTCCCGAGGAGGAGCTGGTGGTGCCCTTGGGCGGAGGGGGGCCCCTTGGCTGAGGGTGGCGGCGAGGGCCGGCTGACCGACCACTCCGAGGGGCGAGAAGCTCAGAAAGCCAAGGCGAAAAGTGACCGGCAGCCCATAAAAGCCACTCGAGGGGGAGGGCGCTGGGGCCGGAGGGCCGTCTTATCCAGAGGCATTTGGCAGGTCCCCCCCTCCCGGCACTCCCCACCCCCTGGACTCCCTGCCTATATATGTATATGAGGGATGTATCCCTCACCCCCCCCTCCTGGCTGCCAGAACTCCTGGGCTCCCAGTCTTGGGAGGTGTGGGTCTGGACTCACCTGGGGGGAGGCCAGCGTCTCACCTGTGCCCCATCCCACCCAGAGGGGTCTGGGAGGGGGGACCAGGTGGCCCCCCCTTCCTTCCCTTCGCCTGGGCAGGGCCCCCTCTTTCCTGGGCTCAGGGCTAACCAAGAGGGAGCGTGCTTTCTTAGCATCGCCATATTAAGGAAGGGGGAAAGGCGAGGAGGCCACTGGAAAGCGCGCACCAGGGGGGGGTCGTGGAGAGAGAGGAAGGTTGGCGCGAAGGAGGGCAGGAGGGCAGGCTAAAAATACAAGCCGATGAGTCGGAGGTAAAGGAAGACGGGCTTGGGTGGATGGCAGGGTAATTA